CTCAGCTCTCGTCGCGGAGATGGCCGTGTTTGATCTACCGAGATTGCCTCCACTTCCGACCGATCAATCGCTCAAAGTATCGATGACGAACGAGCACCGTTGCAAATAAACAGAATTTATTTCGTTCGCCGGAAATGAATTTAAACAAATTTCGAAATACTGTCACATTTATTGAAATATCATAAAGTATGAATTTAAAAAAGAAAGGCAAAACAATTCTCTGATCACATTTTGAATCAACATTAAGATGATTTCATTTTTTATAAAAATTCTAATCATGATGCAGTTTCGCTGGTTATGAATGTAAACACCATTCATTTCAATTTCAATGGTTGAGAAAAAGGTTTGCAAACGAGGATTATGAAAGAACGGAGGCAACTACTGGCGAGATTAAACTGGAGCGTTAAGGGGAATTTCGGAATGCTAATTCGAAAGCGTAGCTCGCGTTCAATAACAAACCGTAGCATTTTGTTATCCGGGATAACGATATAATGGTCGGCAAGCCAAAGAACCAGTGAAATTTTGATCCCAGCCCGATATCATCCGGCTAGGATGAACGTTTTATCTCGTTCCAGCTCCAGGCGTTTTATTTATTTAATGACCCGGCCATAGGATGTAATTAAATAGCTCGATTTCGCTGCGCGACCGAAGCTCTCGGGCAAATATTAATCAACCATGGACGCTATTTCGCTTTGCTCGGCGACTAATGCACAATTGAAAACCGGCGTCCGACATTGGATATAATATTACAAAATACACACCATCGTTTCGCCATTTATTTATAAGAGACTGCTATATGCACGTTCGTGTATCGCGCACGGGTTTGCACGGTCTAGAAAGTTTGATTTTTGGCAACGGAGAGCCGCGCCATCACGTACAACACTTATTTCCTTCGCTTTTCAGTGCCTCCTGGCACTTTTCCCTGCCAACGTCCAACTTCGTTCGACCACATATGCGCCGGCTTTTCCTATCCCGACCGATAGACACGATGCATCTGTATTGTAACACCCGAGGGATCTACGCCAGTCTACACACGCCCCCGTTGCTATGAAAAAAAAAAATCCTCGTTTCATGGTGTATCGCTGTCACGTTTTTTCATTTCCATATAGAAGCACCATGTTCTGCTCACATAAATCTTAAATATGCACATGTGTATCTGTCATACCATTGAACCATGCACAGTTGACGATTTTATCAGAACGTATTGTGTAGGAATGATTTATATGTATGATTTCAGTGAATGAATTTATTTTTATATTTTAACTGTAAATATATACTTAATAATATAATAATTTCAATAAATACTTCGTATTGGTCCAACTTTGTATACGGTAATTCCTGGCTGGTTTTAATTCGCGTCTGACCATCGGCCGACCTATACTACTCGCTCGCTTATACGGATCAAATATTGTTCTTTGGCAGAATTAGAAAAACTGGAACGACTCGGTGATATTTCTTCCAGATAATTTATTCGTGTAACGGGGCGCATTAATCATTCTTCTTTCCCTACCACAAGGAGGTGCGCCTTAAGCCACTGGAGGGAGAGAGTCCGGGCGTAATACATCTTGAGAATCCTTCATCTCGCGCAGCAATTTCCGGCTTATTTATTACTAGTAATTTTTAATATCGCGTTATTGCCGTGTCGTGCCAGCCTCATTACGAAATATCTCGCGTGGAAACCTATTTAACGTCCTTCTCCCGAGATTCACATTCTTATCACGCTTTTTTGGAACCGTATTGCTGGACGGAGCGTTGTGATGTGTTTCTTGCATTTTGAACAACTAAAGTGTAGAGACGCTCAAGCCGGTGGCGTGTGAAATAAGATTTTTCAGGTATTAATTTAAAAATCGAAATATACATCGATATTTTTTTAACTATGTAAGAATAATAATGTCTATATACATTCTTCCCATTCATTGCATTTTAACATATATACAGTTTTACGCGTTATGTGCTAACACAATAATATTGTCCTCACTATTTTGCACTCTCAACTCTAGACAAGAGAGCAGACTGGCAGACTCGGAAAGGCCTCTAACAATGAATGAAAGAGGGTATGGACATTGTCGAATATATTCGCGGTGAACGATCTGGATCGGTTTCAGTCTGAATGGAACAGATTTTCGAGCTGACCAGAAACGGGCTGAATGAAAACTCTTTGGTCTCTTTGGCTCGGTGGGAAGGGATCGATTTTCGAGGCGTGCATACCAATCGAGACGGGAAAGAGAGGCTCGGTCGCGCGAGAAGCTATAATTAAGCAACAGGTTGTAGCTTCTTCGCGGGAATTTATGAGCCGTGGCCCCTCGATGGGAAACGATTCTCAAGGTTTTATTGAATATTAACCCCGTCAGGGATGGATTAAGGTTCGCCGAGACCTGGCTTGAAAACCGGCTCGAGTCCATTGTCTTTTCCAGCCAGTACTTCAGTCACATAATAATAATAATAATAATATCATAGTTATTATAGAAAGAAATTGATTGTAAACCACCATTGTAAGTCCTCTTTAAAATAATCATTTCAGCAATTCTAAATCGTTTATAGAGGCTTCTTTCCATTTCTCTTTTCTTAATCCACGGTTGGTGAGGCTCCAGACTACTTTTTCGCGAAGACGTTCGCATCGATCGAGGGAAACGGTCGGGGAACGGCAATTGATTGTGAAAAGAGCGGCGCGTGATCAATAACGCGGAAAGAGGCGCAGCTTGGCAAACGGTCGAAGGTGAACCTGGAACCGTTCCGATGCCCTTATTTTCGGGAAGATTAAAGGCCAGCCCGGAATGGCAAATGTTAATGGAACACACGGAATCGGAAGTTTCCGTGGTAGGTACCTCTTCGCTTCCGGCCAAGAATTTTCGACGCCCGCCCAGCCTCGGAATTAACGAGCTTTTATCGGCGCCGAGCCCTTGCCAAGAATAATGACTCGCTTTTTTCTATCTACTACAACTGTCGCGAAATTATTTCCCTTGATAATGTACACAACTATGTGCACCGTACCTTGCAGATAATAATTAATATATTATTTCATCATTGTAATGCTTAGTAAGAAAATCGGTTTCTATTACGTAGTTTCGCCTTGTTCGTGCAATTTAATTCATATTTGATCTTCTCGAATGATTATTTAAGATTGATCGAAGAGCGAGTGTTGGCTTGAAACAGGTTGTTATTCTCGGTCGAAGTTTATCTCGTAACGAGGCAGATTAGCTTAGGTAATAGAAAAGTGGTATCGGATGGGCGCGCGTGGAAAGAATTTCGGTCCAATTACGAAAATCGTTGGCGCGATCACCGTATCGGGTACGCGAAGGAGGCCGAAATACACGGGCAATTTGCGCGGGAGGCCGCGATACGGTAGAACTGGAGCGCGAGAGGGAACCGTGGTTATTACGCAGAATTGTTCCTTCCACGGCCGCGCGTTTTACCCTACAGCCATCTGGTTACCAGGAGAGAATCGTCGATCCCCCTGCCTATTCTTGGCTGGGCGATTCGCCGGCCCCAATTTCGCATCGATGAGAACGACTGCGGATTCGGGATGGGAGGGAACCACCGCGTTGATCCACCGCGAAGAGGTCCTCTCAATCTGCAGTCGATTTTCTCGTGCACCGACCCAATTTCGATCACGGTGCGGGCAATTTAACCGAGGCCCGGATGCCCGTCCTAACCGATCCGACCTCGTCGTGGTCGGCAACTGATTTTTACTCGTCCGACGCAGACACCGATCTCTATAGAATAGTGGGTGGTGCACGTGTACTAATGATAATGGCCCTAATTGAAACGGCTGTGACCATCTTTATCGAGGCCTTTTAGACGTTCTTCTGGCAAACTTCAAATACTGGCAATATGTAATACCATCACGTAACGTTATCAGCAGATTAAGGATGTATTGGCTATACAGTCAATCCCAAAAGTTTATGTAGCTCAGAAAAACGCATTTCCTCTAATTAATAATAAATAGCTACGTGCTGAAAATTGTGACGCTCACTGAGGACGAAATAAAAAATGGAACGTTTTTGCATAGGTTCTTCCTCGTTGAGTGGATATCGATGAACAAGTTTAATGTGATTTTTTATTCTTCAACTGACGACTTGATCAAGTCTTGGTAACGAATGGCCGGTTTATTTTTTTGAAAAAGATCGTTCAAGTCAATCGAGATTTTGATAAGGAACTCCAATTATCAAAAAGGGATATTGTGAATGAAAAGTTTCATAAAATAATCATCCTGCTGTAGATTATATTGAACGTTTTCACTCGTTCTTCAACTCCTGTAGCTCCAAAGAACAATATTTATAAAAGCGTTCCTGTGGGGGTTCGTTGAGATTCATTGCGAATCACCTGCCACTATTCCCGGCCGGCAACAACGCTACTTTAGGATACCGTTATCGTCGGTTATTTCACTGTCCTGGTTCCCTTCACTCTCTACTTACGTCGACCGCGAGAAACGTTCATAATTCGTGGACAATTTAGAAAATCGCCGTGGACCCTTTCGAGCTACGGTCCCTCCTCTTTTCTGTATTCAATTGACCGTGTGCCACTGCTACGTTCCTATATTCGCCGAATTACCATATCCAGAATCTACTTGTTCGAAGCTCTAGATTTCCTCTGGAGTCTCTTAATAAAGCCAAGCGTTCTCTCTCTTGCTAAATTTCCTTCCTCTTACTTCGAAGATTTTCCTCCGTGTTTACAGATAAGCTTCAAATAAATTATATTTGAATACAGCCAATCCTCGTTGAAAATGTTGTTCGTTTGAACCGTCGGATTCATTGCAAAGATTACTCCAGGGGAATTACCATTCTTGTTTTATCATTTAAACATTGAAATATGCAAATCAGTTTCTGATATTCTGAACAGCTTTATGTACCTACATATGTTATGCAGAATTGATAATTTGTGCACATACAATTTTTTTTATAAATGCATCAAATTCACAGTTTATTAATAACTGAATAAATCATCGCTCGATTAATGAATTTTTCTGTTTCATTAAATTGAGAAAATTGATTGCTGTTCAGGGTGAGGGGGCATGTTGATGTGCCGGCGGTTGCTGCTGATCGCAGCCGCGATCACGGCCTCGATAGAGGCTGGCTCCGCTAGTTATCATCCCGGTATCTCCTCTGATTACTCCGGGTACCCTGGCTTCCCGGTTTATCCAGGTCTGACGTCGTCCGAGTCCGTGTCCAGCGCAAGCACCACGCCGACGAGCTTCGACAATGTGCCAACTTGCAGGTGAGTAGATCTGCTCTTTCATCGTTTGTACTAATATTTTTTTGTATGTATTAAATGTACTATTATTTTTCTTTAAATTGATTTAATCAAAGTGGATCTTAAATAGTTATCATTTTTATAGAGTAGACTGATGAACAGTTCGATTAATTCTTTGTTAATGCAGGATTTTTTCTGATGCGTATATTGATTATACTGAACGTGTTAGGAAATGAATGGAGATTAAAAATTCCTGTCGATTATCTATCGGTGTTTGTAAATTCGGTTCGCAGGCCATCAGAGTATTTATGCGGCACTGGGAACTGTATCGCCCAGGACAAATATTGCGACGGCGAAAATGATTGCGGTGACAACTCCGATGAGCCAAGATACTGCAGCCGTGAGTCATTAACTATCTTCCTATAATGCTTATCTGTCGAGATCGATGGATACGTGTTCTTCCTGTTTTCATTTATCGAATTCGAAAAAAACGTATTGTGTTTGTTAGACTGTGAGTTTTATGTTTTAGTTGAACATTTCTTTTATCATTTAAACAACGCAGTATGCATTTGACTTTTTAACTACTCTGTATTATAGCTTTATACATCGCATACTGAATTTCGCTATAAGTGCATAGAATCCACAATCATCGTCGTTTCGCTTGAATCGCAATCTTGAGTTCGCACAATATGAAATTTACAAGGAGACGCGTGCCCCGGGGGATTGGTCGGATTTTTATTTGTCGTACGTGTTTCAGCGTGCAACAGAACGTTGTACGGCGACGTCGGCCGTACCTACAGCGTGGAAGTCCGCCGGCCGAGGGAGGATCGACTGCCATTCTTGTGTCATCTCAACTTCACTGCCGCCGGGTCTGATCTCGGGGACCTAGTTCAGGTGGGCAAGGGGAAAAACGAACACCATGCCGGGCGTAGAAAAATAAATGCTGACTGCGCCAGTGGAAGAGGACTGTCACGAGCCAGACCGTGGCCTGGCGTCGGATGATAATTTTTCGTCTACTCTCCCTGGGATCCGTGAAGTGCGCGCGCGCATGGTGTTTTAGCGAAAATAAATTGTCTCTTTGGGAATTTGTTTTTGTAAGTTCGTTCATTTCAGTGCTCGTCCCTCCGTGTATTCTCCTTTTACTTTCGTTGGTTGGTTACGTCTGTATAAATTGGTGCATCTATGTACGTTGATTGCTTTCCTTTTTTACTAATTACCACGCGTTCTGTTGAGATGTTTCCAATTGCAGTTAACGTTCGATACGTTCACCGTGGGTCGATTTATATCGTTCACGTCGGAAGGATGTCCGGATGGTTACATGACTATCCGGGAGGAGGGCCGACCGGCGACCGGCGGTCAATGGTGTGGAAGCGCGTGGGGGTACACCGTATACTACAGCGAGACACCTTCCATCAATTTAACTTTGTATTTGCTACGGTTATCCGAGCAGGTGAATTTTCCTTTCAACGAATTTCGCCGCAATTAAACCTCGATTATCCGCAGAACCGTCATATCAATATAATATTACACAATTATGAATAAACGATCATTATATAAATTGAACGTTGACAGGGTATCGATTATAATTTCGACTTCAAGTTGTCGTACAAGTTCCTGAGACGTAGCGAGGCACATCTGAGATACGGTAACAGCAGCATGTCTACGTGGCGCGGGGAGCTGGTGAACGGCACTTATTGCGATCGTGTACTCACCAAGTGCGACACGCGGGCCTGTCGGCTCCAGTCCCCGAATTACCCGGGTGTTTATCCCAGAAACGTCACCTGCTATTATAGGGTTGAGCAAAATCGAGCGCCTCCCGGTCATCGGGCGCTACTAGCCGTGAGTCAACGGAACAGCCACAAGATACACATCAAGAACCAAGTCGCCAAATACGACGACAGTCAAAGGATCCTCAGGTATCATCGTCTCTCAATTACATATAATAGTATCTCACTGTCTCAATAATTCGTCTAGACTTCTCAGTTTATAAATCTCCTATTCATCTATGCGTTTCATTTCAAATTAGTGCACGCGAAATTTTGTAATAGAGCTTCACGTATTTCATTTACATTGCTTTTACGATGAAATATTGAATAAGTTTTACTGGTACGCATCGAATTGTTTCATTTTCGATGCGTAATAATAGTGAACAAGGCAAACTATGATATTTCGAAAAACGAAACGATGTTACGAATTTAATAATGGCTAAACTTCCAACGAACTGTTGGAAACAAAATTCGGAGTTAATTGGGAATTGTTATGGACTGTTCGATAGAGTCTGGGATCAATGCAACGTGGTGCAAGATTATTTGACAGTGTACGATGGGGGTTCGACGTCGGACAAGGTGTTGGTCCGTCTTTGTGGAGGTGACGCTGTACCAGACATAGTCAGCAGCCATAACACGATGCTGTTAGAGTTCCACACGTCTCCTTACGACAATCCCTTTCACCCTGTTCCTCTGTCGTTCTTGCCAGGCTTCGAACTCGAAGTTCAGGTAATTTCCAATAACCCCACGTCAGGTCCAATGAAAATTTTCACTTTGATTATGGTTCGAAGGTGTTGTTCGTGGACGAGAAATCCCGGAGTTTCGTGAAGGAAAACGAGAACTGCGATTTTTATATATCCAGCGACGAGAGTTCGTCGGGGATCTTGGAAAATCCGAAACACTCACTGCCACCGAATACTACGTGTCGTTATCACTTTCAAGGCAAGCCGAACGAGATCGTTTGGCTGTCTTTTATCAAGTATTACGCTGCCACTACCGATGCTGCCGCGAGCATCGACGTTGCATCCGATTGCAACGCGAAGCTCCTCATTTGGGACGGCGATAGAACGTTAGATAAATTGAGTCCCGTTCGCAAGGTGCGATTCCTTCGACTTTCAACTCTTCACCGAATTATTCAATTACATTTTTAAATTTGCATAATTGTTTCCAATACCGAGAAATAAACAGAGAGATAATATTGAACTGAAATTGGTTGATCTCGATCGTTTCAATTCGCAGAATATAAGCCTGCTGGGTCAGTTCTGTAAAGACGACACGCCTCGGTTGTGCGATCACAGCCTTCTGCGAAACGGAAGTCGACACGCGAGGCCCTGCAGCCTGGCCGAGAGCTACGTTTCCAGCGGGCGAGATCTGACGCTGGAGCACATACTGCGTCAAGGAAGTGCACTTTATCCCATAAGCTTTGTACTGCGTTACGAGTTCGTGCACGAGGCGGTCTCCTGCAACCACGTATTCGGTTCCGCGTCGACTTCATCCACGTCTTCCACGTCCTCCTCTTCCTCCTCCTCGTCGTCTTCGTCATCCTCCACCGCCTTTCCATCGGGGAAATTCGCGTCGCCTAAAAGTGTGTTCTTCTACGGGCGCGGTGGTGCCCAGAACATTAGTTGTGTGTACCGCTTCGAAGCCGAGCCGGATCACAGGATAGAATTGTCCTTTACCAGAGCATCGTTCGGTGACAAGGGATGTTCCTCGTACGTAGATCCGTTAGTGAATCGGTGGACGTGCGATCGACGGTTGCGGGATGTCAAGATTGGAACAGCGGAGCTAGTCGTGTCCGAGTATCCTTGGCAAGGCGTAGAACTGGTACGATTATTATTACGTTTCTTAATTTCAGTCTGATTAATTCTCGTGTGATATTTAATTATAGTTCATTAAAGGTATGACTCGAACAGATCAAATTACCCTCCGATGTTTAGGTTCGCGACTGTCTTTGCTCGAACGTGAGCGAAAGGATCGTTCTAAGAACGCTGACGTCGAACGTAGTGGAGGTTCGGTTCACGGTAACCCTGATGAACGTCACGCAAGACTACAGGGACTTCTTCTTCGAAGGGGAGTACCGTTTCGTCGCGGTTTGGGCAGAAACTAGCGAGCAACATTGTTCGACGAAACTCGAGGAACGACGACTGCGCGGGACCAGCGGCGAAATTTCCCTGAGGAGTCCTCTGCCGCGAGTAATTCCCGGCGTAGCCGCGGTCGAAGAGATCTTAACTAATACCGAGGATCTGACCGCGACTCAGTGCGTGAACGAGCCATGGTTGATCGAACCCGAGGACGCACGGATCAATTATTTATATCTAAGAACCGCTGGGTTCAGCATCACGTTGGACAACGTTGAAGAATGTGCGACATCAAATAGGATCGTGGTCTATTCCGCGGCTAATACGAAGGATCGGAGCGTGATCTGTCCTGAAGGAGGCGTGGAGACGACCAAGACGGTAGACTTCTTCTCCGGTGGCTGGAATTACAGTGCCGTTAATGCCACAGTAGCTATGACGCAGCACGCGAGGAGCTTCGTGGTCGAGTTTCTTCAAAGGGAGCCTGGCTTCTATGCTGTCACGTGGATGGCGATTTCTAAACGATCTCCTAATCCCAGCGTCGGGCCCAATGTCTTCACGATACTGCCTCACGAGGACTGTCCTTATAGGTGAGTCTTCTCCTAATGTTTAATGCAATGCTTGATATTATGCTTCATACGATGATCGATGCAGTGAATGATAACAACGTGTACGGTTCTCTATGTTCAGATGCCCGGAGATTCAGGCGTGCATAAGTTCCGTCCTGTGGTGCGACGGCATCCGGCACTGTCCCTCCGGTTTTGACGAGGAGGAGGCAAACTGTTCGTACCGTTTCGGCGTTACGCTATTGTACGTGGCCATAGGCGCCGGCGCCCTAGGTATATTTTTGATCCTGTTGCTCGCCACCGGCTGCCTAAAATACTGCCTGTACCGACACAAAGCACGGAAAAAAAAGAAGAACGTGGGGCTGAACGTGAACCATCTACACGTGAATCACACGCATCACAACAACGGTCTGACCGGCAGTCGCCTGAGCGGACGGTACAACCTCGCCACGCCGCAAGAGATGTATCTCGAGAATTACGGGAAGGACAGTATTTGTTGACAATACGCCATTGCCAATATCGAGACCACCGTGTGAATATTGCAGGATTTTTAAAAATACGCCTACCTCGCTGGCCTCTCTGATCCCTTTGGAAAAGGACGAACGCGGAAGTAGGGTCGACAGAATTCGAGGAAAAAAAATCATGTACGCAATAATCGTATTCAAAACTCGTAGACCAATTCGAAAGCATTTAACGGAAACTAAGGCTCCGAGTTGTTTCGAGAGATCTACGCTTTGTCCGAAGCTAAGTATTATCGTTTCTGAATCATTCTATTGTCACCCACCCAAAAACAGACGTTAATTATTATATTCGGGGAGAGTAATAAATGCAACGTCGATGCGAAGACAAAGGGTAGGTCCAGTCGATGAAAACAATTCGTGTTTTCATGGTAAGCCGCGGTATCACAGTAGAGATAGGAACACACATCTTTAGGTTTAAACAATGCGCGAGGGATGCATACAGAGCGTGGAGGGATGTAAAACAAACGAGAGAGCACAGTTCGAACCGTAACGAATATGTATATGCTTTTAAGACAACGTAGGAGTCCGTAATTCGCATTCGGAAATGATTTCTATCACGGTCGGTTGCCGAGTTTGTGCCATAAACGTCCACGACGAGAAATGACGCAGAGAATTAGAGGAGGGGAAAAAAACGCCGGCCAGATTTGATATAAATCGCATGTGAACGCAGGTGGAAAATAATTAATAGAACTACTGTGATTTGACGAATAACCCGATCACAATTTCCGATGAAACATAAAACGAAAGCCAAGCGATTATTTCGATCACTGTAAAACGCCAGTTGTATTCCATAATTTTATAAGCCGGTCATGTTCGTGCGACGAGTTCATGTGCAATTTATTCTAATGAAATCATACGACCAAGATCAACAAAGTAAATATCACTTACCCTCCCGTTCCATCTTCATATCGAGCCGATGAAATCTGCGTCGATCCGTCGACAATCCCATCGTTTCTTTTGTAAAAAGGAGAACACGCAGCCACCACACGATCACTTAACACCGGTACGGTAATGTACTTTGCGACGACGCTTCGACTCCGACAAAAAACTGCCATTTTGAAAAGATCGCGAATCGATAGAGATCGATGTCGGAAGAACTTCAGTCGAGTCGCGTCGAGTCGAGTCACGTCGCGGTCGCGGATGCTTCACGTTCCCGTGTGTTAACCGCGATCCTAATTATCCAGATTTCATAAGTACGTTAAACGAAGATGATATAACATATAGTTAAATCACATGTAACTTAGGTTTGATATCGATTGCGCGAGGCTTGACTGAGAACACGTCGTAGAGATTGATGTATAGCTGATTACCGTTAACGAACGCGAAGAGAGAATGCATCGCGCGCGCGCGTGTGTGTGTGTGTGTGAAGCTGGAAGAGAAGACGGGAACGAAAACGCATAATTCTGTAACCCTATTATGAAAGTGTTAACTACTAAAAGAAAAAAGAAGCCATCGTTTCACGTGCGCACACGTAAGTACGAGAAAAAAAGACCTATACATACATACCACGTACACACACGTAATGGTAAAGCGCGTATAAACTTACGTCTGTATGCTGTGATAGAAGTAAGCGTATCAACAATCGAAAATAAATTTCTCGCGTGAACTTGGTCTCAATCGTGTCGTACCCTTTTGGACCTTGCGATCTGTGAAACATCCTCGTTCCTCTAGCTACCCCACGTTTTCATGTAAATAAGGGACGGTTTAAATTTCGTCGCAAATGAGTGTCGCGATGCATTTAAATGAAACGCGGCCGCGATTCGATAGAAAGAATTTCGTAGAAACGCGTCGAGCGAGAGAGCCTCCTTTTATTTAGAAAAAGAAACTCAGATTTCATTATTCAGTCCCTGTTTCAGTCGACCTTCGAACTAACGAGCGCATTCAGGAATTCCGTCCGTTCCTATTTAACGTTCTCTTCTTTTTTTTTTGAAACGGTTTTGAAGTCCGATGTCGGTCAGCTATGAATATCGCCCTCAAATAAAGTGTCCGATGTCGGTCACTGGATCTTAGCAATGATTTATTTGACTTTTTATTGAAACTATGCTTTGAGCTCGTTCTTTTCTATCTTATTTCGAAATCGCGGGCTCTCGTCCCGTTTCGCTCTTAAAGCCTCGTCTTTCACGAGGATCTCTTTGAATTCTTTGAAAGAAGTTGTTTTTATAAATGGGTTACATTTCTTTTCCACGAACGAATGCTTGACGACTCACAATCAATTTTATTTTACACGATGATTAATAGATGGAATTTCCATGATTCGAGCGTACGGTATTTTCGTACTTGATTACCCCGAGGGAACTGTTCCCGGGTAATTCGATAGGGGTTCATGAAAGTACAATGGGAATGCCAAATAAAGGACGATGGATCTTGGCTCCAAGTCCGTTTAATCATGAAAATGGAATATGGATGCGTGAAACTCGACGTCCATCCATATTCTAGATCCAATTGAAGTTCATCAATCGAATCTGTATTTCACGGGTCTTAGTTTCGTTAATTCTGATCTTCTTGTTCAATCAATATAGTTGTTAAGAATAAGTTATATAAATTGGACATCGCGCAAAGAAAATACCAAGGAAGGATTATAATTATTTATATTTTTAAAAGAATACAATAACGAAATATCGTAATTACACGTGTATACGTATATAGAAATATAGTCTCTGGAATACACTGCCAGTCGGGTGTAATTCAGGTACGTCGCGTGATCAATGTGAAAAAGTTTATTAACAAACGCTCTTATATTACAACAATGAACCGGTGTCGGAGAACGTTTCATTAGTAATGATAAGTCCACGTTTGTTAAGTAGATTCGAACATTCCGACGCCTAATAATAAATTTCTTCGTGAAAAGTGCAGAGCCAGCACTGGTGTATTTTTCGTCGCGAACGTCCGGAGAAGATAGGACTCTCCGTTTGTTTTTACCTCCGGATTGTGCGACACATTTACATCCTCTAAACTCATCTCTTCCGCGAGTTTCGTAAAATCCCATAACTTAATCGTACAATCCAAAGATCCTAAAACGATAACAAATAACTGAATTATGAATTTTTGCTGAAATTGAAACAATATATTAAATATTTCATTTTATATAAAAGTTCGCAGTTTGTGAATAACATAGCTCTTTCTTTCTTTAATATTTGGAATGAATGGTTACTAACCGGAGACTAGTATGTTTCCATCCCTGCTAAACGATAAGCAATGTATCGTACCGGAATGTCCCGATAACGCGGCAACTAGGTGCCCGTGTGCTAAATCCCAAACTAAAACGCGGTGGTCCGCACCGGCAGACGCCAGAAATCGACCCTCTGCGGAAAAACCAAGAGAGTAAATCGAAGCTTTGTGTCCGGTCATTAATCTGACTTGGCTGCCGGTTACGCAATCCCATAATCTTACTGTCATGTCACTGGAACCGGTCGCTACGTAGTTCGAGTTCGGATGGAATTGTACTACCTGTGAACAATTTATTCTCTATTTTTTCCATTTACACATGTTTTCGACTTCGACTTACGTCTACATCCGAGTAATGACCAGCAAATATTCGAAGTGGCTGATGGGAATCGGTAGCCCAGAGCCTGGCAGTTTTATCGTGCGACGAACTCGCGAAATAGTAACCGTGTGGTGAAAATCTTACGCACCAAACCGGAAATAGATGTCCTTTGTAACATACAACACACGTCCACGTGTGTAGCGACCATAATCGGACTGAAACATAATTTAATAGAACGATTATGGTACGAAATTATTTTGAAATACTTTAATAATTACCTGTACTATCCTCCGAGGATGAGAGAAGCAGATTCCTATCCGGGCTAAATGATAAACTGTATATGGGACCATTGTGGCCGAACAGCGACCTCGACGTCTCCGCTGTACGATCGTCCATCATTCTTACTAGCACATCATCTGTGAAATAATACAATCGTATTCACATTGCATACATTTGATGGTGTAATCATGTGAAAACAAATATCACCTGCTTCCCTGTCGATGTCTTGCAGTTGTTCCCCAGTCTTCATCAGTCTTAATTTCTGTGGAACCAAACTCCACACTTTTATACAAGAGTCGCTAAGCCCGACGGCCAGTAAGCTCGAATCCTCTGCTACTTCGGCCGCTGTCACACTAAATATTTCTATTAAATATTTCATTTGATTTCCGAATTTCAAGTAAACTTCGTCACTTACGTATGCACTGTGTTTAGTAAAGTGTAAAAGCATATGGATGGCAAAGTGTCCGGACCTAATACGACGCGTTTCGATGCCTCCCTCAATGCTTTTACCTTCTCCATCTTATCTGCGTCTTTTCTGTAAATCAGAATCGTGTTAGTTCTGTACGTTGGAAATAAACGTACCGATTAACGAAGTTTCTTACAAATTTGGCAAAGGCATTCTGCCAACTGGCGGCGCATTTGGATCTGATTTAGTTTTCTTGGAAAACAGTGGATCCTTCTTAGCTTTCTTCTTCTTTGGTTTGTCTCCATCCGCTCCACCCGTGTCGTCTTCCTCCTCCTCGGTCGGAGGCATACATTGAATGTCCGGCTCTTTCAAAAGCCCATAATACACTTTCGCTTTGTTGTCTGAAACAAAAGTTTTTCTGTTTCAGATAAAATATTTTTAAGTTTGAGAAGTTTAAAAGAATAACTACCTTGCCTCGTTGCTTCACCAACCGTTGCACCTGACGTAGCATCGATTTGTTGTTTATTCCTAGCTACTCCTTCGTACATATCGAAATAAAGATGCTCTTGTATAATATTTAACAATACACTATGCTTCTTTTCTTGTAAATGTCGTTTTAATATGGACAGAGTGTCTCTCGACATTCTGATTATGAACTGATTCGATCTGTAAATCATTTTAATTAGAAGAATTTTACACAGGAATCATCCGGGTTCAGAGTTCATTAATGCATACTTGAAAGTGTCAGTTAATTCGTTTCCAGCTATTTGTTCACGTTTCGTGACGTTGGACAATCTCTTTAAATCATTTTGGTAATACTCTTCCAAATTGTCACCAAATCTTTCTAACAACTGCTTCGCTTCTTCGGAATGATTATTGTAAACCAGTTCAAGGTACATGTGTACCAGAACTGGGTACAAGATAGTGCCCAATTCATGCTGTTATTTAAAAACAAATGTATTATTTACTGATTAAATGCAGGTAAATTGTACATGACAATTTACCTTGTATATGTCCAAGGAACTTTCAACAAATTTTTTTAGTTCGCTATAAGCTTTTTCATACAGAGCAGGATCTCCTTCGCTTTTGTAAGCAGACAGAACACTGTTCACTTCAGAATCGGTTTGTTGAGCTTCATCAGGGGAGATATCTGTCAGATTTGCCTCTTTCTTGAACAGTTCCTCTGTCCCCTGGGAAAATAATATCCAGATAAATATCTCAGTGATACTTACTCTATCATTAATATAATATTTTTAATGCAGAAGTGTACGAATATTTAATACTATCCGTTTAAATGTCTAATGTTTACATTGCCACTGAGGTTAGAGAATGTGTAAAACTGAGATTTCTGGTCGGAATACCTTCAAATTGTATTTTCTGAGCAGTTGCAGAACTGCCAGCATGGTACTTTTATCACTCTCCATTTTCACCGAATTATTATGTCAACAAATGGAAATATTTGATAGCAAAGAAACCGCGCAAAAGTGTACAGCAACTACACCATCCGAACGCGCACGTAGGCGCGTGTACACAGCTTATCCGCTTGTATTTTCAGGTAATTATATCACGTGGCGCCACTGTCGCGTTTAATACAATCTCAAACATAGTATAGGATGTTCATTTTTCTATTACAGATTTGGAGGGACGTTGTTAATTACTTAATCTTGTTGAAACGAATTGTTAAAGTGTTATTTGTTATTTTATTAGTGATCGTGAAGTGAGTCTTGTTCTTCTCTCGTTACGTTGTTTCCTGTTGCCTATTCGAAGTTGAAGCCACGTAATATTTGCGCGGGGTAATAAGGTAAGTCTTAATAATTACATCTGATAGTTTAGACTGGATAAATAGGTAAGATAAACGAGCGAAGCAATCTTCAAAATAATTTATTAAAAATGTCGCGTACTCGATATTCGAATCGGTAATCAATAATGGTATAATTAGTAACTATATGCATGTCGTGTGAGCATGTTTCCGGAGGTTCTCTTCGAATCTTTTACGTCTGCCGGTGATCGATCCCCAATCGTTCTCATCAATCATCCCGTAGTGATGTAATCCAGACCGAATGACACAATCTCATTAGCTCGTCAGAAGTTGTCGTCCTTAGCGTTTCAAATAACTGAAATTCTTATCAAAGATGTACTCAAATTATTTGTAGAATTTCGTTATTATATTTCATAATGATGTGTCACCGGCCTGTCAGACACGCATACATTTGCGTACGTTATTTTGTTATTGTCGGACCTATTCTTGATTCCACGCTCACCGCAAAATCTGTTTTACATCTTTTATAGTCCATCCTTCCTGCGATCATTCGTTTATTTACGATTACAACTCGTTTGCAATAACAGTGTCAGGAATCGAGAGTGTCTCGCGACACTCGCGACGCAGTGTATTACAATCTCGCAATCTCATGAGATACTCGTCAACGAAAACTGTATTATGTAAAGGACGAGAAACGTTGTGCATGGAAAGGAAAAAGGTCCGTCGTGTAATCGTTGAGTTTTTTTTTTTTCTTTTTTAAATCAATCGCCCGCGTACAGACAGTCGGTAATGTATAAGTGCAATAGAAAATATTTGTAAAACCGGTGAAAAGCAAGAGTATAAAAGGTGTGGACATGAGGTACGGAATTAGTTTAAAAAAGAGAACCGTGCGGGTTTACCGACCGTTACAAAAGACCGCGACGACGGCAGTGAAAACGTTGTGTAAGTATAATTTTATAATAATGCTTAACCGTTAATCTTCACCGCTTGGAACGGCGATTATTGCGGTAACGCCAAAGCGTTTCAAACAATAAGCGTTTATCGGCAGTCTTCGGGAAGAGTTCGGAACCCATAAAAGTTCTGTGCTACTAGATAAACCAGGCCTGCGCACCGGATATATAGTACTTTTAGAATCCAAATCGTTTCCTGTCTTCGTCTCCCTTCGTACATTATTTACACGAGTCGAACAAAGTTAGAGCACAAAATGAGAAAACTATATCGATTCTATCTTTTTTCCATTTTTTTTTTCATTTTTACACGAATGAAGTTTTATGTCTTTTGTTTAACGTTGCAACTTTTTTAACTTTTTTTTTCTTATTTTGTACTATAAATTTATCCTCTAAAGAGTACCGACACTACACGATATGATTACTTTTACTTGTCGTTACTATTCTAGTTCTCGGAGACTATTACAAAAGTACACTCGATTTGGGAATTCCATTGAACGCGGACAGGCCTGAGATTTTAAACGCTGTACATTCTTCCTGTTCACCGTTGTCTCACTTCCGGTTTCTTCTTACACTTTTAACTCTATTTATACATGTAACAGTTCGCCGAGAAACGATTATTAAACTCAATCGCCTTGTGCAGTTTCTCATATTTCGGCAACGCTTACACTCTTACTTATTTACATAGAAGTTTAGGTTGATTCAACTCACGCCTATCGGAAGTCGCATAATATACCGCACTCGTGTTTTATTTTTTTAATACTCCTCGTGAATAATAATCAGCACCCGTTGTCCTATTTTTGATTAATCGTTTCAGACTACAAGTTAAAAATACAGAAACACAAGTTTCACATATTATTCTTAGACTGCAAATTTTTATGTAAAATAAAACATTTCTTTCATCGTTTAAGTAATACGCTTAACTTTGATATATTTTTACAAATGCGCATACTTAATATCTCTATGGATGCATAAAATCTGCAGTCTGCTCCTCTTAAATTCGATAATAACAGGAGTATTAAAACGAGTGGCTGACTTCCCGTTAATTAAATTCCGGCGTATTCGTAGATATGGTTTTACATTATTATTAACTTCTAATCATCTACGTAGTTATTCGTGTTCTATAATTAGTTAAAACTCGTACGTGTATACGTTTTATTTACAACTGAGTCGCTCGCTTATTTACACACACGTGTACACCCCCATTTCAAGAACCATTGGCCTGTAATTCTGATGAACCGTTTTCAGAATTAAATTATTAATTATATATGTAACGAATCAAATTTTATCGTTAATCTTATATCTGCAGGTTTTCAATTATTAAGATTTGAAACTCTAAATTATTAATTATATCGATGATTAAATTATATGACGAATTAAACATTATTATTGTTACTCTTTCTGATATTTCCTGGCTTGGAATTACATGTTGGGAGAAGTAAAGGTCGAGTTTAAATCTTTCTTTTGTACTCGAAGAAATGCTCGCGGCGGGATCAATACTGAAATTTGTGAATAGAATGGCAGGAAGCGTATGAATTACCACAGGGTTTGCAATTCCAGTTCCGAGTGGGCCTTCGCGTGCGGGCGTCTCTAAACACGCGGGTCGCGTTTTCGTGGAACGATGTCAATAAAGGTCCGTCGATAAATTGCACCGTTTGTTTGCGTATCGGTTCGAGCCAGCAGCGGCAATAAAACCTTTAAATGTCCACCTACACGTGAACAACGCAACCACCCCTCGCGCTCTGAAAATGTATTTATCCCCGCGCAACATCGTTCCCTGTTGTTCACTTCTGTTTCCACGCAAGGACCTCGTGTTTTTATAAGTGCACTGCAGATTTTTATGCGGAATAAAACATTTAAAACCGTGTTTTAAATGAGAATTTCCTTTATCATTTAAACGTCGTAATATGCATTCTGGTACTTGTACATGAAATGTACTGTTATATTATAATATAAATTGAATATACAGAAACGTGTCGTACATATTTTCTGTATTTAATGCATTCAATTTATCGTGTAAACGCATTAAATCTGCAGTCTGCTTATCGTATGAAAGTCACGCTCGAGGGAGAAAGAAGAATTGCCGGGCCATTTTTATAGTTGTACAATTTATCGTTCGTAAGCACGCGACTTCTCTCGTTATTATTTGCTTCGTTCTAATCCTCGGAAGCTTTCCGATTCCTCGACAGAGGGAATGAAACGAGAACTCGGCTAGTAATAAATCAAATAAGCTTTGCCGTTCTCTGCTCTTTTCGATTTCCATGGAATGTTCTCGGATCGGCGCGGATCTGACCGTTTGTGCGCTTCTTCCATGGACTCTCGTTAATCTATCAGAGAAGAGATATTCCTAAATAGTAATGAATTGTTTCGGGTGATTATCTTCTCTTTGGCAGCTTTTGTAAAGCATCGGTGTCAGTTATTGACTTTAAAACAATTTTTTCGCTTCCATGAATGTTTAACCCTTTTAGCATGTAACGTGATATCACTGAAAAATTGCGGCCAGAAATATTCGGCATTAAAAGGGTTAAATTGTGTGTGTTCGTTCTTCGTTTCCGAGATCCAAAAAACGTAATGGCAGTGAACTGATATCGTGTAACGCTTTTCATTGGACAGAACGCGAGAAAATAAAAATAAATCTCAGTCTTCGATTCTCTGGAAATTTATGGGTCAACTGAATAACGAAGAAAACTGTCGTCCTCCCCCCCGTTTCTGGCGTTCGACGCGCTTAATTGGTCCCCGAAACGTAACAAACGCGAATGACACCAAGAGAATAATGGAAGATAAATGGGCGTGATTCGTTGCACGAGTTCGCGTTTAAAAAACGGGTCACCGATTCGGCTTCGACGTTCATCGACCTCGTCAAACAATAAACTTTCGCCTCGCCGTGAAATTTCATTTACCCCGAGCTGTGTAAAATTGTCCGAGCCACTTAAATGTAAAAAGTTGTACACTCGAGAATCGAACGAACGAAGATCCATTGAAAACATCGATCCCTTGCAGTTTCGAGGGTATCTTTTCTTTTTCAGAACGTTCACTTGTTATTCGACGGATGCGATCCACCTAAAGCGTACACGTGGAATTAATTAAAATAAGTGCGGTACGCACAGTTAACGATACCATATAACGATTGTCTTTGATCAACGTATAACGGAGGGCCGGGTTACTCGATGCTTGTTCTCCAAAATTATTAATTTCGTGGCGGTGCTTTTAGTTAGCTGACCGGTATTTTGCCTGTTTCCCTTTCGCCTCTTGTCGGTCTTAATCACCTGCGAGCTCTACCTTACGGCTAGTAGTAAAGCGATTGGTGATCTCCGTTCCCAACGATCGATTCAGCTCTCACAGTTAAATAAAACTCGAGAGAATTTCGAAATACGTGTAATTTTGACACAGCGATGAACTATTCCAACTTGTGTTCCAGTACTTTAATGTACTTACGGACAAAGAACTGAATTAATTTCTAGGCAACGTAGATCCGTGCATAAATGTTAATATAAATAGTTAACTAGTGGTTTATGTACAAGTATGAACAATGGTGTACAAGCGAGGGGGATCCTTGCACGACGAACCCCTCGCAAGGGTGTAACAATCATCGAACGGAGCACAGCTCCGCGGAAAACAGCGTTACATATATCACATAATTTCAGGCTACCATAGTTCTAAGTCGTTTTCTTCGTTCTTCCCGAAGTCTTAGTCTCTAATGACAGTGTTATTGAATCGTCTAAACGTTAATCACTCATTTGGTCAATATCTATAGTTCCCAACTTGCTTGTCCTGTTCCACCGTGATCAACGCTCATTCCTCTGTTCCTCCTTCAAACTTCGAAATCATACGATTTTCCCCCATGAAGTATTAGCACCATTCATATTTTCTTTCACTCTTCGGACCAAAATTTTCGTCAAACTGGAAGTACTCGTTGATCACGATGGGACAGATCGTAGTTCACTTGAACGCTTACCCAAAAGAGAGCACGACATAGCGGAAGAGAGAGAGAGAGAGGAGAGAGAGAAAGAAATTGATGTTTCATAATCGTCTCCTATCGATTAATCGAGAACCGATTATAGTGCGAGTATTTGTTATCGGTTCTCTGCTCGACGCTAAGGACCATTTGCTGTTTCCCAACAGAATTTGATCGAACGCTAAGCTATGCTACCAGCGAAAGGATGTATCACTAGGATTTTACTCTTTATTGTCCTTGTTCAAGCAACTCGAGAAGTCATAACACGTTGCCTTTTGCTCGTAAAGCAAACGATAAATAATTTCGTTTCGTTCGATACACCTGCTAGAACAACTGAGAGATCAAATCAGTATTCTGAGTATTGATAAATACATTTTACATTCACCTTTAATATGTGTCTGGGATATATTTTGTACATATTTTCTTTATCGTTTGATATACTAGAATTGAACAACAAATGGCGAATTAATAGAAGTAGAAATGCATAAGCAAATGTGTAAGGAAATGCATAAATGAATGTATAGACAAATCTATGAGTAAATGCATCAATTAAAAGAAATGCAAACTAATGGAACTGATTCCTACCTGTTGCACTGCAAACGGGAGAACTTTGAAAACCAAATCTGTAAACACCCATTTTCATCTTATATTTACCACAACTTGGGATCCTATCAAGATTAATTTTCAAGCACTAGTTCAGTTGAAAGGAGCAGGAAGAGGAAGAGGAGGAGGACCAGTCCTTGTCGTTGAGCATCGAACCTTCCAAGTATATTATAATCTAGATTTCCTACGTATACAGTTCTGCGCGTAACGCTGAGGGCGACGCGTCGCGTCTTAACGTACGTATCCACTTGTGTCATGTCTTTGTATCACCGTTGCATATCATGCATAAATGACAGTGTAAGTCATGATTTATTTCAATAAAATCGTACTTAAAAAAAATAGCAACGATTTGCACATATAACGATATTAATGAAATGTGAGATTTTGCATGACTTTTTACTTGGCAAATAAAATGAAGCCTACAAATTGTAAATCAGAATTTCATTCATCATGAACGTTTCACATTATAAGAGTTATGAACATCGGTGTACGTGGCAAGCATGCAACTATGGTACGCAACGGTGATAGGATGCGACAGAAGTATGCACCTTTACTGAGTCCAACAATTTCAAGAGGACACGACGATGCAGCGACGAGCGACGAGCGAGACAATCGTGGGCGATCGTCACACGGTGGTCACCCGATCGACCTCTACGTAACGCACAGAACTGTCGCTGTGTCAGCAAATCACTTCCTTCCCGTCGATGATCGCCGTCTCCGAGGAAATGCTCTTCAGCCGGTGCTGCGATATCGAGCGGTTCGCCCGTTGCCTGCAGATGCGCCACACCACGAAGCAGAACACGCCGAGGATCGTGACGATCGCTAGCAGTCCAAGGCCCAAATGCAGCGGCGGTAGTTTCAGCAGGATTGAGCAATGGTTGAGGGCTTCGTCGTACCCCGAAGGGCAGTGGGATATCCCGTCGCACCATAACGATGCGTTTATGCAAGCGTCCAACTCTGGGCAACGTTGCTCGCAGTCCCGAGGCATCTGCAGCCCTGCTGTCGACGTGATTGAGGGCCTGCGAACAGATAAAAAAACGATTAATTGTAATTTGACATGATAGGATTTTTATAAGTTTGCATTATGCATTCGAGGAACGAATCACAATATACTACATCGATGCACTTATTAAAAAATTCCAAGGAACAGATCATAAAATATTTGATATTCTTTTTAAAAACAGATTTAAAATATAATTACTCACCTTCTGATGAGTTCGAGCCAGGTGACTGTGTACGTGTCGGGTTCCTTGATGATAAACTCAACAGCTATACTTCTGATTGGATCTTGACTCGGTGCTAAGATCATCGCCTTGCCACTGACGGCCCAGCCGTCGCTGAAAACCTCAACCACGTGGTGTCTAGAATCTGCAGGTGGTCTCGGGCACACAGACACGTGAATAGTACCTCCCGTGTGTATCACGATCCTATTCTTCGTCGCGCACTTGCTCGCGTTCTTCATTACTGTACCGTGCGTCTTCACGTACAGATATTGGTTCGGTCCTGGCTCTATCAGCCACGGATGCTTCTCACAATTTTTCTGCGATTGCATTCATGTAGATTATTAAATTTTTAATAGAAATTACAAATTCAGTCGTTTGATTTTAATATTAAAGATATTAATACGAGTCACTATATAAAAATTGATATTTCGATAGAAATAGGACAGACTCTTTTCTATTTATTGAAAAGGATTTTATCAAATATCAGTAAATAGAAATCTCACCTCATCCTCATCTATAATGGGTGCCACGTAATTGATCTCCCCAGACGGTCCTTTGACTCTTCTCTTCTGAACACAAGGCGTCGTTTTCACGAAATCCCAACTGCCTTGGAAGAATAGATTGTTGTAATCATCCAGCGCGTTCATAGACAGCACAGTGAAGTGGACTTCGACGATGTTCGAAGTAGATTTCACGTTCATGGGCAGTGATCGGTTCGAGCAAAAGCAATCCCGTTGAACCGGTGGTGCGTTCGGCCATGGAAAGTCCAGCACCTGTGAATATCCAGGATTTTCCATGAATTAATTGCTCGATAAATTATTATAATTACAGCCACATTCGCATTAGCTAATTGCTCATTAAATTCAGTGACGCATTTATTGTCGTCAAATATTATACATTTTTTTAAATTGTCGGATGAATAGATTTTTAATTGGAATGTTTTCTATTTGTTATTCTTTTTCCCTGTGTGTGGTAATGTACAGTCCAGTGTACCAATTAATCCGCGAACGGAGTTTCAATAGGCCCTGCCACGTTTTATATTTGTACAACACGACTGCGCTAGAGAGACCATTCATCTTTCGTGAATACAGTTGTTAACTCTCGACGAACAACTGTATCTGCTCGACAAAGTTTCGACTCTCTGTTATTTGGATAATCACGAACAATATCTGCTGTTGTAAAGGTTTGATCAAAGTTAACGGCATTGAGGAACAGAAACTTCAATGGAATTAATTCGCAATTATTATTTCTATAATACTGGGTGACTCGATAAGAGATATCATATACAGTATCGGTTGATAATTTTGTTAAAACGTGCTGCGCGGAATTATTAAATGAATATTTCATTGTGTTTCCATGAATCGAAATGTATTTTCGAATTTTTATTAGCTTTATAATCAAATCGATGAGAGCTGGGTAATAATTTTATTAAAACGTACTGAGTGAATTTATTGTAGGATTATTAAATGAATACATTTACTGTGCTTCCATGTATTAAGATCTCTGCATTTTTTATTAGTTTCATAATCCAATTAATTTTCTTACTGATTCACTCTGTATATTAAATAACGTGAAGTAACGTTGCTGTATTTGATACCTTGTTGGATATCGATTCGATAATAAATTCAGAAAGCGTTACTGATTAAGTTTAGGAAAGGATCCTATCGCAAATGAGCAACGGTTTTAATTTAAACTTCGGAAGGTACCGATAGTTTCCCCGATTAAAAGGGGTTTGTAATTAACGTGGCCGCGATTTCATCGAAACTTTATCAGAAATCCGGCGTGTAAATGTCGAACACGAAGCCTCGGTCATAAGTCTTACGATTATGCAACGTAGAATCAAGCAATATGTATGTTTTAAGAGTATGAAGTAACAAACACAATTGTTATAATATTTCAATGAATTGTCCATCAAAAGACGTTGTTTCTCTTTTCTACTCTATGTAATATCAATTAGTACATGAATTATTCTATCCATCATTATATGAAATATAGTATCAAATATTTTATTAAGCAGTAATTATTACATGAAATATTGTTTTCGATTTTATTGCATTTATGACTGGGCGTGTAAATTATTATGTTAAAATATCGATGGTCAATCTTTTGATATTGATTTTTATTATCAATAAAATTGCATTAGACTAGTTTACCTTGACGGAGAAGTTGCTTGATCCGACGCAGCGCAGGCGGTCGTAGTCTGGGCTAGAGACGCTACGGCACGTCCGGTTCCCGTTCAGAAGCTTGTTGAACCGTAGCTGCACGACCTCGTTGTGATCACCCTCGAATCGGTACACGCAGCTGGAAAATCCGTTCTAGCCTGCACTTCGCGTCACTTTGATCGAATCTACATGCTCGGCCACGTAAAATAATCGCTTTCCCGATCGATATAAACAAGACGAAGTCTTGCCGATCGTTTCCTAACTCCGAGTGATTGAATAAATCAATTATATCTGATAGAGTAGAATTCTTTTCAAAGGTGTCAGATATTCATTTCATTATTAATACATTTATGGTGCGAAATTCATGGAGGAATAATAAGAATGCTTCTTATATATTGCCTGTTTGAAATTGAATTCAGAACTTCGACTTGACTAAAAATAAGAACTTCAACTAATTGATTTCGCGAACTGGAATGGGTGAATGCTTTTACGTTGAAAAGAAATACAGTCTGATAAGAAAAGGCTTGCCAAGAAAAGGAAGGCTCTTCCTTTTCCCCACTCGATGGGGGTCGAGGAACTGCGATAGGAGAAGTTGAAAAAAAAAAATGGCACGCGCGCTCACTTTTGTCGCGATGCACAAAGGGACTATTTACGGCCGGCTATCGCTTTTCCAGGTGAAACAAAGAGCCGGGTTGCTGACGCGCATCTCATTTGAAATCGCGGAATCTCTTTTTCCCAGTAAAAGGCGCGCGTCGTTCAACCTGGCTGAAAGGGAGAGAGTTTGTACGTTTACGGACGTCTCCGCCTTTTCTTTAAACAGACTGGTCACAGATCTATACTTCTCGATTCTTTCTTCTATCAAAATTTTACTTATTAGAATCGCGTTTTTCATTCTGTGAGTTAGACGAGCTGACACAGATTTATAATTGCGTAATTGAGAAAGCGTCTCAGTTTCTAATCATAATCGATGTGAAGGTGGTCTTACCTGATATTCTTAGTGCCGCCCCGGCCGTAGAGGAAAATATCACGGGGCGCCTGGAATCTACGGTCAGGATAATGATCTTTATTGCGACTGTAAAAGATTCTAGAGCAGGGCCCAGTTCCAAACGGGTCTCCGTCTTGATGAATGTCGACGAACTCGTACAATGCCCGGAAATTCACTGGCCTGAAAATCAAATCAGATTTGCTGATAAAGAATGATTTGTATTCAAATATTGAATTGGAAATTCATATCTTCGTTTGATTAAATCGGTTAACAAGTTATATCGTTAATCCATCTTCAATTTAATAACAATTTTTAATTGAAGAATACAGAGGAAGCTTTTCTATACAAAAGATATTGAACACTGTTTTCCAATTCTCATCACGATTAAAATAAAAATTTACTAGACTGCAGATTTTATATATCTTATCAGAAAAATTATACTTGTTGAGAATATAAAAAATGCATTTAATGTCGCAGAATATCAGAACGTAAATTTATATTGTTTTTACAGGATAAAAGAAATTCCTGTTCAAATTCTATTTTCTAAATTGGCATTAGGAATATTTCAGCTTGCATAAAAATGAAATAAGGAAAAGGATGTTGCAACGTGGTAATAAAAATACTTGAACGTTAAAAATAGCGTAGATACGGAAAGCAAAGAGAGAGAGAGAGAGAGAGAGAGAGAGAGAGAGAGAGGGAGCAATGTCCGATGGCATCATAATTATAAGCGACAGGTTGTCGACAGTCGCGTAGCAAAAAGGGTCTCTCGTTTACAACATTTTATTTATCCAAGCGCGTGTTCGAGCAGAGATGCGTCGCGTACGGTCTAGTTAACCCTTTCCACGTTTATTAACCTGTTAAACGGTGCAGTTCCTTGATCGACACCCCCTTGTGCGGCCAATTAAAAAAGTGACCCGAGTATGTACGAGCGTTTTTTTCCCCTCTTCTTCTTTTCCTTTTATCGAGTTCCGCTCGATTTAATTGAACCTCCGACAGCTCTAATGGTTGGCGAGATTTTCCACTGTAGGACGAAGGGTGAAAGTGCTCGATAAAATCGAACAATACGGAACGATTGAAAATTAACAATTATTTAATTAGCTATTTCACAGATTATAGACAACATGACAGTGTTTATTGATTGGTTAATTTATAAAATTTATTGTATGCACAGTTTTGGTTTTAAACGATAACGTTTGATGTTCGTCTTACGTTCTTTGCTGCTCGATGCGACTTTTACTGATAAAAATAGGTATTGTTAAAAAACGTTAAATGGTGATCGTTACGAGATAGTAGAGATCAAAGAGGCTCTTTTAGACCCTTCACTCGATATAAAGCTCTTTGAAGCTATTTTCAATTAGTTCGGTTTTTATGAGAATCGAATGAAAGCCAGCGAAACTTTTCCAAAGCGAAGATTGCGTCAAGAGACAGACTTGCCGAGATGACTTCGTTCCGGGTCGCGAAAAACTCGTACAATTTTTCCTCTCTGCTCGAGGAGCTTTGAATATAAATTCAGACGAAATTTGCTCGTGACACCGTCCCTTGTAGAATCGATACAGAACGTTACAAGAGTAGTGAGAAACGCGGGGTGTTTACGGCGACGCAGCGCAATATCTGCCGCACTTGCACGTTCCCGCTACCCCACCCGCATTTCGCTCGGTTCACCTAATATCAGTTATTTATAAGACACGATTTTTCACGGCAACGAATTTTTCCAGCGAACTTAACTCGAGGTCGATTAATTACGGCATAGTTGCGTCTGTTCTTTTATTTGAAGTTCGATTTTATTGAAATTCATGATCTGCTCTATGATTCATTATACATGACTCATTATATGATTTATTATACGATTTATCACATGATTTGTTCTATGATTTATGTACAAAGAGAACATGGTTCTTTCTAACGATGCGTAGCAATGATACAAGGGTACGATACAAGTGGTTGCACGTTAATACGCGAGCGTGTCGATCGATAGGACGTACGTAGAACAACGACGTAGTACGAAACGGCAATCACGGACTGTAATTGAAACGGAACCCGGTTTCCTCTCTCTTTATTTCACTTTTCGTTGATCCAGTGAATAGAGTTATACTAGCCTGAGAGCCGTCGACTCGACCATCCGCATCTCGATGGTCAGACTGTTCCCACTGGACACGAAGCTCTCCCCGAGTGAACAGGGACGGCTGGTGTTTTGCAAAATTGCATGATCGCAGGTCCTAGGTACATTGTCTTTGCAGTAGCGGGCTAATAACGTCGTGTTACCCACGGGACGAGCCTCCAGGGGATGCGAGGGCTCGGTAGTCTTCTCCCCGTGACGTTGATGCTCCTTCTCACTGTTCATATCGTTTTGTTCATTTGATTTCCAAGTCAATCAGATTTGATCGAAACAAGTTTTTGCTAGGAATTCACATTTAGATGATACCACAAGAAATTGCAACTTCAATACAAAAGATGGAATGATTAAATTATCTCAAGATCTGAATATAGTTTTTATTATGACAAATTTACCAGGTAGGGTCGTAGCACTCTTGCAGAGGCATCATCTCGCCGTCCCAAACCATGAGAGTGGTAGAGCATTCTTGATCACCGCTAGAAAGACTGGTTCCCACGTGGAACTTGAGGATGGACAACCAGACGCGAAATTGCGGTTGTGCTGGTCTTGGCGCCGGTCTTCTCCAAACGGTTCCTGGACGTTGTTCTGGGAACTTTGGCAAGGGTCTCGGCGGTGTCGGGCTGGGTAACGCTGGCCCGGCACCGCGCAGGTGGTACAGACACGTGCTGTTACGCGGCAGCGTGTGTCTGGGAGAAGCTAACACTCCGCCTCCGCTACCCTGCAGCCAGAACTCGCAGTGTTTATTCCTCGCATACGTGGGCGAATCAGCGTCCACGAATTTCACCTGAAAGTTTTACTAATTTTATTTTGCTTTCATTGCAATCTCTAAAAGAGCAATTTTCGTTTAGCTCTTATTAATTAAAAAGTCGTTTTAACTTCTCTTCGTTTGTTTTAATACTGAATCTCTCATATACAGGTCAAATGACCGTTTTTTCTGCTATAATAAATAGAAGAAAAACGAAATTTATTTTTTGACACTCCGGGCGCGAAATTCGGTTTCTCGTGCATGTTTAGCGGGCGCAAAATAGCACATTCCCGCCCTAGGGCGGAAAAGACGGAAAATGATATAATTACAACTTCGATGGCTTTTGTTATCGATTAATTTCTCGCCCGGCGTGTCAAAAAATAGTATGTGCACCAGGGCGCAAAGGGCATTCTGTCACTCGTGTGAATTTGTCGCCCTCGCTTCGCTTGGGCGAAATTCACACTCGTGCCGGTGCTAGAATGCCCTATTTTGCGCCCTAGGTACACAATGTACTATTCTCACATAGAAATTGGGGGGGATACCACTTTCATA